GTATATATATACACATACATACATACATACATACATACATACATACATAGGGCCCACAATGTCCTGGATTCTGGACATGCTGGGGATCAGGCAATTGAAAATATGCTGAAATTCAAATGAGAGGCTGCAGGAGAGAGATGACTGGAGTGTCAGCCTCAGCATGTGGGTGGTGGTTGAATCCTTGAGAAAATGAAATTTGTCAGGAACAATGTGTAGTAGGGGTCGTGATGGGAGGTGACAAAGGATGAGGTGGGCTGGACATGGACTTAGTGGACTGTCCAGGTGCACATCCCGGTCCCACCCTCATGGCTGTCTCAGACGAGGTAAATGACCTCTTTGAATTCCGGTGTCTCAGCTGTCAGTTGGAGACAATGGAACCCTGTCTTTCTCAGGTTGTTGAAGACTTTGGCTGGGATGGATATTGGCATAAGTTGCTTTGCACTGTGCCTACACAGGGCAGGCTGTGAGGATGCCGTGTGTGGTGATGAGGTGAGGCAGCTGTGGGCAGTTACCACTCACTTTACCTGTAAAGCGAGGACGGTTGCCAGGGTCCCTTCTACATGTAATAGGTAATGAGTCAGGGCAAGTGATGCGTATTGTGTTGTTTTTGTTTTGGTATCATACAGTATGATTAGGAAAAGATGGTTTATTAGTTACTTTGCTCTTTGCTGTAACAAAGTACCTGCCATGCAGCCTTGAAAGGTTTGCTTTGGCTCACAGCGGAAGGGAGTCCACCACAGAGGGGGACAGGCGGTAACAGGAGCAGGAGGCTGGCCCCATTGCCTGTACTAGGAGGTGAGTGCTTGCTGCCCTGGAATGTGGCTTCCCACCTCTGTTAACCTCACCCCTGCCATTCCTCACTGGCATGCTCACAAGTTTGTCCCTAGGTCCTGTCAGGCAGGTGACAGAAACTGTCACAAAGCTACAATTTTATTTACAGCTTTGTAGTTTTGGATTAAATCGTAAATATCTGGAATATTTGAGACATTTGTCAGAAATACATAAAGAACTGTCTAAATGAGTGTGATTTCTTGGAGATACCAGCCCTACCCCCCTTACTCTCTGTAGACTTGCCCTCTCCTGCCCACTTGCCTGGGGGGGGGTGTCCTTCACTCCCTTCCTTTGTGAGTCATCTTTTTGAGGGGGTCTCACTTACATAGCCCAGGTGATATGAACCTTTTCTCTGCCTACCAAATGCTGGGATCACAGGTGTATGCACCGGATCTAGTTTACTTTCCTGTTACTGTGATAAAACACACCAACCAAAGCCACCGGGGGAGGTAAGGGTTTCTTTGGGTTACTCTTGTAGGTCACGGTCCATCATTGAGGGCAGTCAGGGCAAGAACAAAAGCAGGAACCATGGACGAACACTGAGTACTGACTTGTTCACTGGCTTATGCTCAGCAGGCTTTGTTATTCTGCCCAGACACCCACAGTGGGCTGGACCTGCCTCATCAATTAGTAGTCACCTTCGTGAATGCCCCAGTCTCCTGGAGGCTGTCCTCACTTGAGGTTCCTTTTTCCTAGGTGACTTTGTGTTGTGTCAAGTTGGTAATAAATACTAACAAACACAGTGCAACTCCTAACTATGTCAGTATTTCTTCAGCTAAGTAACAGGTCTCCTTTAAGGGTAGAAAATGTGTATATCCTCAATATTTACTTAAATTCTCCAGTATAATAATACTGGATATATATGACCATAAAATTGAATTATTCATGTTTATTGTTCTTATACCACTGTAAACTCTAGGAACTAAAGAGAAAAATTGGAAACAAATTTAAATGAAGATTAATTGAATGTGGTAGATGAATAGTTTGTAATGTGAGGGAATGAGGTTTTTAAATCATATTTTTATTCTTTGAGAATCGCATAGTTATGAACATACTCATCTCTGGAACCTTCTCTCAGATCCATCCCGCCTCCCCACCTTCGTATTCATTCTCTCTCTTTGCTCATTCTCTTTCTCTTTCTGTCTAACCCACTGAGTTGGGCTTGCGTTGCCCAACTACTCCCAGTATGGGCCTGCTCTGGAGTGTGGGTGTACACTGCCATACACTAACTCTCTCTCTTAGCAGCGAGTAAGTGCCAGTAGCCCTTTACCTAGGGGCTTCATGCCCATTTACCTCCCTTCATGCTAGGACTTTCGTCTTCCTGGAGTTTGACTAGTCTCTTGCATGCTGTCACAATTGCTGTGACTTCCTATGTGCAACTGCCCTGTTGTGTAAGGAAAACACTGTTTTCTTGAAGTAAGTCATCTACCACCTCGAGCTCTTACATCGATTCCTCAATCTTGAAGGGAAGGATATAATCCCACTTAGGGCTGAGCAATCCAAAGCCTTTATTCTCTCTCACTGGCCAGTCGATAGTCTCCATGTGAATTGCCGACTGCTTCAAGAGTTTCTCTGATGCGGGTTGGGAGATGCAGTGATCTGTCTATGGGTATCATTGCATTAACTCATTAGGAGTGGTTTTAATGCTAGCACTCATGTAACAGAACAGTGGTTCTCTCCTAGGATCTTTGGCCTTCCTGGCCTCTTGGCCACATTAACAGTGCCAAGTATAGGCTCCATGTCTTGAAGCAGCCTTAAACCCCATCAGAAAATGATGGTTACGCCTTACACTTGTGACAGTGTGTGCCCATGGAACTTACATTGGGTGAGGGTGTTTTGGTGCAGAGCACTCTGCGCACCGTGAAGGGTAGCACTGGAGCGCCTCAGTCTGCACACACTTGCTTTCTCAGTGCTCGGGGATGCAAGCAAGTGGTGTCTTCAGCATAGGGTCTCACTGCCAGTTTCTGGAGCGCCATCAAGAGCTTGTTATGCTTGGGGGTCTATGGGAGTCCATTAGCCAACAACTCGGAAAGAAGTAACTCATCCCTGGTTCTGGAGATGAGGGGGACAGCTACCTAACAGAGGAAATGAGTCTCCAATGTGTAAGTCACTAGTACATTCACACAGTTTGGAGACAGAGGTGCACAGAGCCAAGTCACTTTCTTTTAACCCTCTCTACCTAGTTGCCAGTTTTTTAAACAACACGATCCATGTTAGCTTCACCTGTGTGCTGTCTGCAGATCAAGCTAGATGTTCCCCAGGCTTCTTTGTTTGTTGAGTAGACATCCAACTGACATTATAGGGTTCTTTCTGTTTTTTGCAGCTGAACTGAAAATATGTACTGTAATTTATTAACCAGTTCTCTGTTGTGAGGCATTTTGGTGGCTTCTGGTGTATGTAATTATTAGCAGATATCTTTGAAAGCGTACCCTTTCCGTGTAGGAGTTTGAGTGCTGTGTTCCAGTTAGATTCTTTGCCTTCCTTTTTTTCTTACAACTTACTGCAGTCCTCACTTGGCTCAGGCCTGTCTGTTTTGCTTATTAGTCACCCTTCCTATTTCTTTTTCTTTTTATATGTTCAGTTTGAAAAATATTGCCTAAGAAGTTAATAAATATGTAAGTTTCCTTGCTGAAAAAAAAAATGACAGAATTGTCCAAGACATTTTGATGGAATATTGTTGTAGAATGCGCCACGACACGGCACAGCTTTGTTACTGTCTTCAGCTGCTGGAAATGTCGGTTTCTCATACACCTTTTCACTGCATTTCTTTCTGTTGTAGGGACATGGGTTGCACGGGGTGGGAGAAACTGTCCACATACCGTTTCCATTTGATGAAGCAGAGCTACAAGGAGGTACCTTTTGAATTTGACTTTATCCATTTGACTTTATCATTATTCCTGTCAATAATTGGTAGAAAATGACAAGAAGTGAGTTTTTAAAATTTTTAACTTCTGTGTTTTTACCACTTTGCTGTTAAAAGAGATGGCAGAAAGTAGTTTTTGTTTGTGAGTTTCTGCCTGTGAACTGTTAGACAGCCTGTTAGAACCTCTGAAACAATGCCGTGTGCTTTAGAGATGACCACAGTAAGTGCGTGTTTTTCTGTCTGTGGGGCCTCTTAGTCATTTCTTTATTGTTGGTTTATTTGAAGATTGGGAGGGAGGGCAAGCCACCAGGAACAATTCAGAGTACTCAAGGCTCAGTTTGTGATGTATGTGCTCTTGGTTCCGTGTGTGAGTGTGTGTGTGTGCGTGTGTGCAAGCATGCGTGCACAAGTGACATTGCTCCCTAACCTCCATTTCTTTCTAAATGCTGTGGACAAAATGCTTATTTTGAAGATGCCAGACCCTGATACCAGGATTTTTTCACTTTACAAGGACTGAATAATGGGAGCTCGTGTGGATTACTTATAAGGAAGAGCTGTCTTCTTACATTTCTTCATTGGAGTTAGTCTCAGTATGCAGAAGTAGTTCAAAGACTGTAAAATACACATTAGTTTTTGGTGTTGTGTTATGTGTTAAAACTTCATCAGTGTGTTGCTACTGGTCTGTCTCTAGCGTTTACCCGTGCCAGCATGGGTGCTCACAAAGCACTGCAGACCTTGAGGGACAAAGTGGACTTGCAGCACTTCTGTGGCTATGTCACCATGTTGAATGCTTCTAGCCAGCTTGCAAGTAGAAAGCTCAGTGACGCGTCTGATGAGAGAGGTGAGTCACCATTTGGGTTTTGTGGTTGGAATGACCGGGTGTGAGTCTAGCACAGTCGTTTTGTGTGAACCACAGCAAACCTCAGTGGGACTGTTGAGCGACTTAATAGTTATCGTGAAGAGATGATATGACCTTGGGTGGAATCTGGAACTGTCGCTGGTTCAGCCATTTACCATTGCGTTTATGTTCATAGGCTTTGAATGAAACTAGCTTTAAGGAGTGATGATTTTAAAACATTTCCGAAATAGACTTCCTGCTGATTACAGATACCATGGAATACATTTTGGAAATGACTCACATTCATTTCTTCCCCTCCTTTCTTTTTAAAAACAAGTTATTTTTATGTTATGTGCACATGTATGTGTACACGATAGCTGGGTTCCGGGGAAGCCAGAAGTGGGTGTTGGTCCCTGTGGAATTGGAGTTAGAGGCAGTTGTGAGTCTATGTGGTTGCTTAGACTCGAACCCAGGTCAGATCCTAATAGCTGGCATTTTTCTTGTGAATATGTACCGGGTTTCTCACCTATCTCTCCAGCCCTTCTTTCTTAGTTCTCTCTGTATTGGATCTCGATACCTTAAAGCACACAGTACAACTGTTTCCCGTGTAGCCTCCCTTCCTCTGTCTCTAGATTGTCTGTAGCAGACCAGCTCTTGCTTAGCAGTTGCTTCTGTCTGACATGGTGGGGTGTGTATAGCTTTGCTTGCCCTGGTGCTAGCTCTGATCCACCAAGGCTGAGTGTCAAGTGACTGTCACTGGTTGACTGTAGTTCATGATCCTTTCAGTTTGAAATCCTAAGAATCCCTGGTCCATAGTCAGCCAGTGGATTGGGTTTGGCTCCCTCTGAGTTTCAGGAGTACTATAGTTTAGTTCTCTATGTCATTTATTCCACAAAATAAATGAAACAGCAACTAACTGTTTCAAGTCCTGGAAGCATTTAATTTTTTAAGTCCAATTTTAGTCCAAAGAGTAAACCCTCGGTCGGGAAGATAAAGGAGTCTTCCTGGACTGTGGAGTTGAAGGCTGAGAGGGGCGGGACTGCTTGAATGGGAGACAGAGAAGGCTGAAGGCTGTCTTAACCTGAGAGCCATGGGGATTGCATCCTAAAGAAGGCAGAGTTTGAACTGGACTTTGAGAGTGAGAAGTGAGTCAAAAGGTGATGGCTGAATTTTTTTTTTTTTTTTTTTTTTTTTTTTTTTTTTTTTTTTTT